TCTTTCGTTTTTTGGCAAAAGTGCCAAACAAACACTCTTAATGGGCTCAGCATGAATGGAAAGTGAGACAGAACCAGGGAGAATGTTGTTTTCCACACAAGGCGGCTGAGACAGCTCTGTATGAGGCGCTGTGCACTGAGTAGAAGCACATCCAACTTCATAGCAGTGATGTCCACCTTATACAGGTGAAGTCCACCTTATACAGACATCAGGCAAAGTATATACAAGATATGAGTAACTTTATTAGTATTTTTCTCAGAATGCCTTGAGCTGTAGTCCACTTCCAGCTTTTGGAGCGCTCTTCAGTCTGCTTGGCATTCACATAAGCCTCATCTCTACTGTCCAGTCTCATGCTGTTCGGTTCTGCTCAGGTGTGTGTCCAAGTCAGTGTGTCCCTCACTCTGCGGGCGTGAAAGCCTTGATAGTCCTGGGATTTAAATGTACTCTTCACAGATTCAAGTCAGCATGTGCCAGATGCAGTGTAGCAGCCCCAGAACAAAACTGAGCCTCCTCCATATTTCAGTGTGGGTACAAGTTTTTTTTTTTTTTTTCAGGTCTGTGAACCTATTTTTGATGACACTTTTTGTCAAAACGCTCCAGTTTTGTCTCATCTGTCCAAAGGACTTTCTCCCAGAAGCTTTGTAGCTCAGCAACATGCATTTGATCAAATTCCAGTCTGGCTTTTTTATAATTTGTTGTCCTTCTCAGCTGTCTTCCTTTAAGTTCACTTTGACTCAAACAGTGACTGATGATGTGATCTGACACTGATGTATCTTTATTTATCTCTAATCCTTTGGGAAGTTGTTCCGGGCTCTTTGTAGGATTGGGAAAAATCACATCGTGTGCGATTAATAATCAGAAAAAAGGTCACTTATGAATATTTGCCACTTTGTAATTACTGCAAGTAATGCTGTGTGATGATGATGTAGTTTTGTGTACGAMACATGCTCACTAACAAGCGTGCATGTGAGCCTATAACATAACAATGGGCCTCATGCAAGAACCGTTCGTACACACAGATTTGTTCTTAAGTTGTGCGTACGAGTGATTTAGGAGAATTTGTGGCATTCACC